TGCCTGGCCCATTTTTTTTTCCAGCCTTTTTTTTTTTTTTTTTTGAGTCAAGATCTCTCTCGATTGCCCAGGCTGAGTGCAGGGGAGCAATCATGGCTTACCCACAGCCTTGACCTCCTGGGCTTAAGCAATCCTCCCATCTCAGCCTCCTGAGTAGTTGGGACAACAGTTACATGCCACCTATGCCTGGCTAATTTTTGTATTTTTTCTTTTTTTTTGTAGAGACAGAGTTCTGCTATGTTGCCCAGACTGGTTTGGGACTCCTAACCTCAAGTGATCCTCCTGCCTCAGCCTCCCAAAGTGCTGGGATTACAGGCATGAGCCAACATGCCTGGCCTGCTATCCCTATGTTAAAGATGGGGAGACTGAGGCCCAGAGAGGTCAAATACCCTGCCCAAGGTCACACACAATATAAGTTGTAGGGTTTGGATTTGAACCTAGGGTGTCTGGGTCTAGATTATGGGCTTTTAACTTTTTTTTTTTTTTTTTTTTTATGAGACGGAGTCTCTGTCTGTGGCCCGGGCTGGAGTGCAGTGGCCGGATCTCGGCTCACTGCAAGCTCCGCCTCCCGGGTTCACACCAATTCTCCTGCCTCAGCCTCCCGAGCAGCTGGGACTAAAGGCGTCCGCCACCACGCCCGGCTAGTTTTTTGTATTTTTAGTAGAGATGGGGTTTCACCGTGTTAGCCAGGATGGTCTCGATCTCCTGACCTCGTGATCGGCCCGTCTCGGCCTCCCAAAGTGCTGGGATTACAGGCTTGAGCCTGTAGTAGTAGAAATGGGTTTCTCCATGTTGGCCAGGCTGCTCTCGAACTCCTGACCTCAGGTGATCCACCTGCCTCAGCCTCCCAAAGCACTAGGATTACCAGCATGTGCCACTGCGCCTGGCCATGCCTGGCTAATTTATATATATATAAATAAATATATATCGGGTCTTACCATGTTGCCCAGGCTGGGTGAACATTTTTGATTATGTGGCCAGGGAAGGTCTCATTGAGTAAAGTCTGGAAGGAATTCTGGGGAGTGTGCCAGGTGACTGGGTGAAAAAACATCCCAATCAGGGGGAATTTAACTTACAAACGTCCATGGCTTCTCGGCAACCTATGCGCACACTCAGAGGTTCTCAGGATAGGTGCAAATCTAACCCCTATTTTTTGCTTTAGAATGCAACACTGGGGGGGCCAGGCGCAGTGGCTCACTCTTGTAATCCTAGCACTTTGGGAGGTAGAGGCGGGTGGATCATCCGAGGTCAAGAGTTTGAGACCAGCCTGGCCAACACAGTGAAACCCTGTCTCTACTAAAGATACAAAAATTAGCCAGGCATGGTGGCGTGTGCCTGTAGTCCCAGTTACTCAGGAGGCTGAGGCGAGAGAATCGCTTGAACCCGGGAGGTGGATCCTGCAGTAAGCCGAGATCACACCACTGTACTCCAACCTGGGCGACCAAGCAAGACTCCATCTCGCGGGGGAAAAAAAAATGTAACCCAGGGTTAAGATTTTTAGAAGGTCACATTTTGTAGCAATGTCAGCAAACAGCAATGTTGCCTTTGCAGGTCCTTGTATTTCAGAGCCCATATATTTGGTCATCATGATGATCGAATTTAGATCTCAGACATTTTGGTAGTTTCCTAATAATCTCACAGGCCTCAGGGCCAGTGTGTCTCAGGTGTCTGTCTGGTGGGGGAGATTTCTCTGGATGGTCCAGAAGAAGATAATCTGCTTCTTACTCTCCTGCAAGCTCTCCCCGCAGCCCAGCAAAGTCTTCTGGGTCTGGTAGGGTCTGCAGAGAAATTTCTGTCTCCTGAGTCAGCAGGAAGTTCCCAGACTAGCCCTAGGTGGCTTTAGGGGAGGAGCTCTGGGCAGGGAGCCAGCTGCCCGTGCCGCATACCTGAAGCCAGGTGTGTCTTTGGAATGCCTTTGCACTTCCTGTTTGTCACCTGGACCAGGGCTAGCCTCGGTCTCAGAGTCTCCCAACCCCAAGTTCCTGCCTTGTGTCTCCCTTAGTGAGAGTGAAGTTGAGTCAATGGCAAGGTTCTGGTTAGTTTGGGGACACAGGGTGGCCATAGGTCAGCCAAAGGCCAACTAAGTCATTCTCCTGCCTCTGAGTCCTTTGGGATCATTTATTCGGGCACAGAAGAGAAGAAGGGGGCACAGTCAGGCATCAGACCAAGCATGGGGAGAGGAGAGGGAATTATTCATGTTCCAGTTGGATCATAAACATGTGTCCACGTGTGGGGAGGGATGTGGAGGGTGGGAACCACCAGCACAGGCGATACAAACACAGATGTATGCAGGACTCGCTTTTGACATTGGACGAACATTGCTGGAGTACTTGCTGTGCACCAGGCTCTGTTCTAGAACCTAGAGATACAGTGACTAAGGAGATTAAAGCCTGGCACCGCCCTACCCTCCAGAGCTTGCAGTCAGCTGGGCAAGAGAGACCACAAACAAGCGCGAGATGAATGGAGAAGACAGACCATTTCTAAGAGTTATCAATGAAAGTGATAAGCCAGGGAGATGTGATAAAGGAGGCTGGACAGGACAGCCTCTCCTATAAAGTGACATTGGAACTGAGACCTCAGTACAGAAGGAGGCAGTTAGGCAAAGATTGCGAGGAGTCGTCTGGGTGAGGCGTACAGTAAGGGCAAAGGCCTGGAGGTGAGGTGGACTTGCTTTTTATATTTTACATCATCAAGGCGGCTGGTGTAGCCGGAATATCATGAGCAAGGAGCAGATAGGAGGGCAGCGATGTTAGAGAGATCAGGAGGAGAGACCGGGCAGAAACTGGTGGACTTTGAATTTTAATCTCTACTGCCCAAGGGTTTTAAGTAAAGGAGGGGCCCGATCTGATTCGCCGTTTAAAAGGATCACTCAGGCAAAGATGGAAACAATGGCTTTCTGTGCTGCACAGGAAATACACTTAGGGGATCACGCCCAGGTGAGCCCGGGCACACCGACACGCGTAATGCACAGCGACCCACTCATTCGCGAGGTGACCTCTTCTACCCCAGATCCTCCCTGCGAGCCGGTGGCCCCACCTGGAAAGAGAGGACGCCCCATCCCAATAATCTTGGTTCTGGATCTGTCCTGGGGGTCCACTCACCTAGGCAGGACCCGCGGGGCTCCCACGAGGCTGGGACCAGGCGGAAGCTGAGGCTCTGCGGCTCGGGGCTGCTGTCACCCCCGCCCTCCACGTTGCCACCGCCCCAGCCTTCCGAGACCACACCTAGCGGGAACCCAGTCCAGTTACCTGACCACGGCTCCTGCAGGCCCCGCCCCCTGCAGGCCCCGCCTCAAACTAACTTCCCAGGCTCTTGCTCCGCCCCCTTGAAACAATTTTTTTTGCTACTAGCCACGCCCCCTGTGCGTGGCACCGCTTTCTCCATAGACCCGGCCCACTAGGGGAGCACTGCGCATCTTTTCCTGGCAATGGCCCCGCCCCTTGCACATAGCCACGCCCACCCCCGAGTGACCACGCTGACTCGCAACCACCTCCTTCTTAGCCCCGCCCCTTAGGGAAATAGAACAAATTTCATCCCAACTTTCCCGCCCCCTAGAACCCGGCCTCTCCCTTCCACCCAGGCGGCCCCAAGCACCCATGGTCCTTTGGTACCAGGGTGGGGTGGGGTGGGGTATCTCTCTCCCTTCCCCGCCAAGGCTCTGGGTCAGGACAGGGCAACTCCCTCGGGCTCTTACGCCAGGCTGGGGTAGCTGCGGCGGCTGTGACGTAAGGAGGGGTGCGCTTCCTCCAGACCGCCCTCCTGGATTTTCCGGAAAGAAGCCCCATTTGGGTGGCGGGTTTTGTGGAGAGATATCCGGGAAAACGCGACAGCTTCCTTCAGTGACAGCACGCTGGAGGGGGGCGGGACTTTGGGGGAGGTGGAAGGCAAATCATTCAGGTGGTTTCCTAGGTGGGAGGAAGGGTAGGGGGGACTTCCATTATGATGCCTGGAGATGAACAAGAGAAAAGGTGACAGGGACCTAGTGCAAGAGAGAGGACGCTTTGGCCACGTTTATTGATAAGTTCCTCATATTGACATCAGTCGTGTCTTGTAGAGACGGTGTCTTGCTATATTGCCCAGACTGGAGCGCAGTGGCCTGATCATAGCTCACCGTAGCCTCAACTTCCTGGGCTGAAGCGATTCTCCCGCTTTAGCCTTCCAAGCAACTGAGGCTAAAGGTGCACACCACCACGCTCAGCTAATTTTATTTTATTTTTTTGTAGAGATGGGGTCTTAGTATGCTGCCCAGGCTCTGGAACTCCTGGGCTCATGCGATCTTCCTGCCTTGGCCTCCCAGAGCGCTGGGATTACCGACATGAGCCACTGTGCTTGGCCCCGTAACCACAGTCTGAAAAGCAGTAGCAGCAGCTAACATTTATTGAGCACTCACTGTATACCAGGGCTGTTCTGTCAACTGGCTTTTTTTTTTTTTTCTTTTTGAGATGGAGTTTCACTCTCATTGCCCAGACTGGAGTGCAGTGGTAGCAATCTCAGCTCACTGCAACCTCCACCTCCCAGGTTCAAGCGATTCTCCTGCTGCAGCCTCCCGAGTAGCTGGGATTACAGGCTAATTTTTGTATTTTTAGTAGAGACGGGGTTTCACCATGTTGGCCAGAGCGGTCTCAAACTCTTGACCTCATGTGATTCACTTGCCTCGGCCTCCCAAAGTGCTGGGGTTACAGGTGTGAGGCCTCTATTTTACTTTTCAAACAGACCACCCTGTAAGGGTGATAGGTAGTATTTTCATCACTTCCATTTTCCAGATGGAGACACTGAGGCACAAGGCAGCTAAACCATTTGCCCAAGTTAACCTGGCTTGTAAGTGGTAGAGGTGAGAATCAAACCCGGAGCTCCAGAGTTTCATCCTGTCTGCCTCCCTTTCAATCTTCGCATGCCTACTTTCTCCAGGATGCTGCTTTGCAGTGAAAGTTATTCACCCACCATTTTGCAGATGAGGAAATTGAGGCCTAGAGGGCCAAGGATGCTTGCGAATGAAAAGTTTTGATGCCTGTAGGGTTGCAAAGCAGGGAATTTCCAGACTGGGCTCCCCCCACCGGCCCTGGCCAATGTGGAAGAGACTCCAAGCTCGAGAGCGGAAGAACGTTTCTTCCTTATCCCCCACGGGTCTAGTATTGGTACAGTCAGAGGCTATGGGCCTGTCCAGGGAAGGGGTCTAGCGCCTCCTCGTGGTTATAATAATTTAAAAAGAGGGCCCAGTACTCTGGGAGGCCGAGGTGGGCAGATCACCTGAGGTCAGGAGTTTGAGACCAGCCTGACCAACATGGTAAAACCCTGTCTCTACTAAAAATACAAAATTAGCTGGGTGTGGTGGTGTGCGCCTGTAATCCCAGCTACTGGGGAGGCTGAGGCAGGAGAATCACTCGAACCCGGGAGGCGGAGGTTGCCGTGAGCTGAGATGCACCACTGCACTCCAGCCTGGTCAATAGAGCAAGACAAAAAAAAAAAAAAAAAAAAAAAAAAAAAAAAAAAAAAAAAAAGACACTATTGCAGTCTATAAGGAGAGGGATGTTGGTAGCTTGGATTTGGGTGGTGGCCATGGACATGATGATAAAGGGATGGATTTGGGATAAATGTCAGGTGCAGTCAATAGAGCTTTCAATTATTCATTCAACACGTACTTACGAGGCATGCATATGTGCCAGGTGCTGCATAAGAGAGGGGTCAGTAGTGAACCAGAGACACAAATTCCTGAATAGACAATAAAGAAACAAGGGTGACCGGGCGTCATGGCCCACATCTGTAATCCCAGTGCTTTGGGAAGCCGAGATGGGAGGATTGCTTGAGGCCAGGAGTTCAAGACCAGCTTGGGCAACATAGTAAGAGCCCCTCTCTGAAAAAAAAGTTTAAAATTAGCCAGGCACAGTGGCACAAGCCTGTAGTTCCAGCTACTTGGGGGTCTGAGGCGGGAGGATCACTTGAGCCCAGGAGCTTGAGGCTGCAGTAAGCTATGATCATGCCACTGCACTCCAGCCTGGGTGTCAGAAGAAAGAGGCTGGGCACAGTGACTCAAGCCCGTAATCCCAGCACTTTGGAAGGCCAAGGCGGGCAGATTACTTGAGGTGAGGAGTTTGAGACCAGCCTGGCCAACATGCTGAAACCCTGTCTGTGAAAATACAAAAATTACCTGGGCATGGTGGTAGGTGCCAGTAATCCCAGCTGCCTGGGAGGCTGAGGTGGGGGAGAACCTGGGAGGCGGAGCTTGCAGTGAGCTGAGATCATGCCACTGCACTCCAACTTGGGTGACAGAATGAGACCCTGTCAAAAAACAGAAAGAAAGAAAGAAGGAAGGAAGGAAGGAAGGAAGGAAGGAAGGAAGGGAAGGAGAAAGAAGGAGAGAGAGAGAGAGAAAGAGAGGGAGAGAGAAACAGAGAAAGAAAGAGAGAAA